ACTGGTTGTGCAATATGAGTTTGGAAACACAGTTTACAGGAGGCCTTGAAGGGGAACATTGGAGGGAATGCTTATTTGGGGACTGTGCACACTCTTTATGTTGGGAACTCTCCAAGTGTATTGGTGTTATTACCTCCTCCTACCCACCTCCGCTTTTGTCATAGAGAGAATTCAGGATGTTCGCTTGTTTAATGATGTGAGCATCCGTGCTGTAGTTTGAACTATATACACAAGCACCTCAGAGGGAGAAAAATGCTAATGAAGCTATTAATGATAGATCAGTGCATAACTCAATGTGGCAGCGAGGGAGGAGGAGGACAAGTTCGGCAGCAGCGTCTTTTAAAAAAGAAAATATCACAAGTAGAGAGCTGTGTGGGAGTTAAAAGAAAGGGGGGACAGAAAAAGTGCCGGAAGACAGTCGCTCTCTTGTTGGGGAATGTGAGCTGGATAGCTGGCTAACACACATACACACCCACTGCCACACACGTGTGCGAACAGGAAAATATGTGACTGCATGGATGAGCCAAAATGCACACATTCATGTACACACACACACTCACTATTATACAGTATATGCATACACACATCGTAAGCTGAATTTATACAGGGCCAGAAGTCCCATGGGAATTTACGCAATTACATCCATTCTCAGGGGACAATCGGAATATCAAATGTAAAATACAGTACTGTGGTCTTCTATTATTGCTGGATTAGTGCTGCCAACCCCCTGCGCCACTGGCTGCCTCCTGTTTTTTCCCCGAGGACACTCTTCCCCTCCCTGCATTTTTTCTTTTTTTTCTTCTCTGTTTTTGTCCCTGTTGCTCTTAAGCGAGTGGTACTCGAAGGAGGTTGGAGACTCAGTAAGGACACTTGTTTGCTCATGCATCACTTATGAAACCTCAGTTTCCTGTGTCTCGTACAAACTGTTACACCCACACAGGCAGAAATTTTACATTTATTTTATTTTGACATCTTTGTTGCAGAGCACTTATTGCCTCAGCGCTGCAATACGTTTTTTGTGATACAATGTCGTCTAATCTCAATTTCATGTTTATAAAGTTTGTGTTTCTCTTTGTGGAACTTTGTCTTGATGCTATAGAAGCTATCATTGTTATTCTTTTGTTTATTCAGAGCAAACTGCTGTTGCAGGAAGGAGGTACAATGCATTTTTCTATAACAAACTTAAACTCAAACCTCATAGAGCTAACTAGCAAAATAACTATAACTAAACTGAGATTTGCTTGGTATAACTAGAATACAGAGTTTGCCAGTGGGACAAGGTGCTGGACACTGAAATGCATTCGCCATACCCCGAAAAGTGGCCTGGAAGTCTCTGCGGCCTAATAACGTCTGGCAGACGGAGCCTGTCGGAGTGGCAGGCCAGCTGAAAGTGATTTGGTGGAATGAAGAGAAAAAACAGGGGGGATACACACAGAGAAAGAGAAACAGACAGGAATACAAGAAGGTGGTCATCAGCCTTGTCGTCCCATCTCTCTGCAGATCTGGATGAATTTGTCCTGACAACACAGGAGCGAGTCAGACAGCACCTCCCTACCCATTTACACACCAACACACACACACACACACACACACGTACACATCTCTCCTACAGGCATGGCCAAGAAAGAGGAGGGAGGGAGCAAATGAGGGTGTGAGTAAAAGTAAATAACCTACTAGATGGAGTTAAGTAGGGGCAGAAAGTGGCTTAGAAAAACTATAAAACAGTGAAAGAGAGAAGAAAAAAAAGGGAGAGACAGGAGATGAGCGAAAAATTGATTTTGGTAAAGAGGCAGAGCGAGCGGTGGGCATGAAAAAGGAAGAGAGAGATGGAGAGCCAAGAGAGCATGAACAATGATGAGAAAATGAGGGACAGCCTGAAAGAGAGAAAGTGAAATAGATAAAGAAAAGAAAGAGGGGAGGAAAGAGAGCGGATGTGATGGAGGGAGACAGAGAAATGGACACACCTTGTCGAAAAGATTGAGAGAGCGGAGGAGGAAATGAACAGGAGGACAGAAACAGAGAGAGGAATAGAAAGAATGAATGAAGATAGAGAGAGTGAGGGAAGATGAGAGGATGCCTTATTTTCCTCCATCTCAATTTGCACAAAACTTTCATTACCACCAATTTGGGCCGGGAGCCGTAGGCTGGACCATTAGGCGAGCCCAGCATCAATCAGCCTAATCTCCCTCCCAGGCTGCTAAATTACAGCGCCCAGTTGCTTATTAAAATTTGTCGCCCGTCTCCCAACACTCGGCCCTGCTGGAGATTAGACAGGGGCCCCTAGACAAATCTGTTCCAGAGAAGAAGAAGAAGAAGAAGACAAGGAGGAGGGGTGAGGAGAAAGACGGGAGGAAGGAAGTACAGGGACAGTAGGAGGGGGAAAAAAAAGAGAAATGTGCTTGCTGAGACAGAGCGGATCAGAGTGGAGGACGATCATCTGGTTTGATTTATACACTCCTGTAAATCCTGTATTTGCGCGCGCGTACACACACACACACACACACACTCTCTTACCCTCTCTACACACATCCCATTTACACCCTCCGCCACATGCCCACATTCTCCTGAATGCAGTTTTCTATTCCTGTCAACACCCCCAACACACACACACGCGCACGGTGTAGAGAATGCAGGGTTTGCGACGCCTCCCATTGCACACTCAATCACACCGGCGGCCAGATAAGACGCATGATGAATGGCGTAATTGAAGGCGGCAGCAGGGTAATGCTGCATCGCTCCGGGTTTGGGGGGCAGAGAAGAAAAGTGGCGAGTGGGTGATTAGCCTGTAGGATTTATTGTTATTGCTGTCTTATTAAAAAATACTAAGACTGTCTGCCTCGCCTACTGTAGCACAACTCCAGCAACAGAGCATATAGGACCCTACACCTCTGGAAGGAAGGATTAGCATACCTATATGGAATCAGGGTGGGGGAGTGATTGGAAGGCTGCTCATATCACCGAAATCTGGCTCAGCTAGTCTCCTCTCTGGAAGGATGGGTGACACTTCTCTTTGCTCACTTTCAGCATCAAAAGCAATTGAGAGGACAATGAGAGAAAAAGAGTGTATGGAGTGACGGGGGCTCAGTGGGTAAAGGAGGGAAACGAGGCAATTCTACTTCAGGCTGTTGCGCACTCAGCAGATCAAACACTCCTTTCACGTATCAAAAGCTAGCAAAGGTCCTTGACAGTAGAGAGCCAGACAGTGTACTTATCAGCCACGCTGAGGCCACTCGTTCCTGACAACATGTGCAGAGGGATTTCTCCTTCTGACTGTCCATGTCATCTGACGACCCTGATTCGCTGCGGTCCACTGTTCGTCAAGGCCTAATCTGTCTTAATGGATCCTGACTTGTGGCACATGAAAAGATTATTTCCATTAGTGGGGCTCAGCATGTTGTTAAGACATTCTATAGCACATTTTAAACATACAGGTCTGGTGGAACCAATTATTATCAGGTTGAGATGGGAAATCAATGTTAATTTTGTTTAAGCTCCCCTTTTGACAAAAATGGTAAAATGGTGACCTTTTCTGCCGCATTCACATGGATTCAGGCAGACGGTAGACGGCAATCTGGATATCATATTAGTGGACAAGAGCAGGATAGTAAAGTTATGTGAGGCCAGTGGAGAGTTACGGCAATGGAAGGAAAAAATTAAATCTAACTTTTTGTTGGAATTTACAGCCGGACTTTACGTAGCTTAACATGGACAAGCGTAAGGCTAATAATATGAATTACACCAAATATTGGACAAAAAATAATTGTATATAATGTAATTATAGGCCTTTAAGGTGTTACACCGGTAAAAACTAACTGGTATACAGTGTCTGACTGGTGTAATTGGTGTGTAGCCAGAGAGCAACACATTTCACTTTTATGTTTTGTCTCCTGCATGTACCATGCTGCAAAAATTATGACAATAGTGCTGGAACAATTGTTTGATTAATTGGCTAAATTGATCAAGAACAGTTTTGATAATCGATTCATCCATTTTAAATGTTAAAATTTGCCGATTGATATATTTTTGTAAATCGACTGCCTTTTTGGGTTTTGGACTGGTGGTTGAACAAAACAACTCATTTGAAGACATCACTGTTGTAATTAGGCATTTTCATTCATTTCACTTTCTGACATCAACCATGAAATTGTTAATTGCAGCCCTGAAAACTACTTTTGGATGAATAAGGTTAAGCCTCAAACAACATTGTTATTATGAATAGTAAAACACATAAAATAGTGTTTTGGCTAATTTGTATTGCGGGAAATGAATGGGAGAGAAAACCATAGTGTTTTCAAAAAATAAAATGGGAAAAATTCCACACTTTCCCCTGTTCAACTGATGATTGAAACAAAGCAGAAAACCATTTCCCCCACACACTTAAAAACATTAACACATACAGCAAATGTGAACATGCACACAGGCACCACATATATTATTATTATCATAAAAGATACACAATGCAATGAAATCCCCACACAGAACCTAGAATTCAGTCACCGCAGAGACACAAACACACTATTGCAATATTGCATCTGCCGCACACACCCTTCGAGCCAAATTGTGAAAGTACATAGAGCAACAGTGAGCAGTGCGGTTGTACGGAGCATGTCCACTGTCAACACATACTGACACGGTAACCAGCACAGAGAAAACCACACGTGTGCACACTGAGCCAAATGTGGTCTCAGACAAAGCCCATTCAGTTGCTCTAAAAAAAGAACAAAAAAACATTGCAGTTGATTTGTCTGAAAGTTTAATTAGCATAGCACCTAGAGTATTCAAAGATAGAAGGGTTGGCAGTGGCGAGGAGACGTGAGCCAAAGCGCTCCGGCCAGTTTGGGCTATTTTAAAAATGAGTTTGAATCTTTGATGTGTTGTTGTTGTTGAGTCAGCCGGCTTTGTTTTCATGTATAAAACTCACTGGTGTTGCGCGGCGTGTGTATGATTCATAAAATGAGTTCAGTTCAGGATCTACTGCTGTATATAGAGAGTGTGTCTACCTCTGTCGGTCTCCAGCAGCCCTTTTGTGCTGCTGTTCAGACTGATTGAGTGGTGTGCTGTTCGGCCAACTGGGCTTCCGGCTGGTGGACTGCCCGCATCGATTGCTCGGACGAGCCCTTCTTCTGGCGCACGGACAGGAAAATATATATATATAGAGAGAGAGAGATGAAGAGAGGAGGAGAGTGAAGAAGAACAGTGTAAAAATAGGGAGCAAGGAGAGAAAGATATGGAAGGAAAGAGAGGGTGGAGGCGGAGAAAACAGAAAAAAAAAAGGGAACATTAGCTTAAATGAAAGTTTATTAGCTGTATCAGTCAGTCGGGTGGGGTGGGGATGTTGCCCCAGGCCCTCCATCCTTCCTCTCTATCTTACCCCCCCCCACACACACACACAAACTCCCCACACCCCCTTTCTGCTTGTGTGTGTTTGTAAAGGGAGGGTTGTTTTTTTTTTTGGGGGGGGG